AGGGGGGAGGGGGCAGGCTGTGGCGGGAACAGAGCAAAAGGGACCACTACAGTTTCCCCAAAAGCAGATCCTGAGTCAAGAATCTGGGTACAAGAGGTTTATTTGGGAGGTGATCCTAGAAAACACATAAGGGAATGGGGACAGGAGGGACGGGAGGAAAGCCATGAGGACTGTGTTAATGAGAGGGCTGCCACTGTGGGCAACTGGTGCAGAATACACTCCAGAACTGCCGCACGGAGGGACAATGAAGCTGAGGTTGGTATTTACAACTCCTGTTGTTCGCTGACTGAGGGTCGCTCCTGGGAACATTAACTCCCAACACGTGCAGCCTGCACAGCACACGCGGCTGAGACACACGAGCCATCAGCGTGTGTGGGACTTTCTAGCAGTGTCCTCCAGGGTGGGCCGAGGGGCTCCTGTCAGGGCACTGCTGGTGCCTGCTACACCCCTGAAGTCACCTCCTCAAAACTGGCTGATGAGGTTGGACTTCCCTAAGGCCCAGCAGCTCTGATGAGCAACTGATAGGTGACGCAGAATCAAAGACCCTGGCCAAGGGTTTCCCATCCGGACAGGCCCCAGAGGAAAGGGTGCAGCAGCTTTCAGGGGGGCGGAGGGGACAGTGGGCAGGCCTCAGATCAGGACACCACTCTCCTCTGCAGGAGCTGGGCCAGGTGGCTGTCCCTAAGGACCCGGGGCATCTCAGGAGGGAAGGGGGATGAGGGAGAGGCAGCGAGGGCTTCCCGGAGTGCTCTGAAGGCGCCCGGCCCCACCAGGTGGACCCTGGCAGGGCCCACGCTGCCCCGGAACCGCAGGGACTTGTAGCAGGGCGAGGCCTCCTGAAGGCAGTGGTCAAGCTGAGAACAGAAGGGCCTGAATGAGGCTGGTGTGTGGCTGTGTGGGGCGTGGGTGAGATGTACACAACTGTGCCAAGTGTATGTGTGGGTAGGAGTTTCATGCGTACATGTGAGTCTGTGGGACTCCCCCCTCCCTTCCCGGAGCCTCAGGAAAGTTCTCCTCCCTGCCCCTACCTCCCCTTCATCCCGCTGTGTCCACTGTGCCTGGGGGCTTGCAGAGTAAAGGGGAGATGCAGTCAGATCCTGGTCCTGTCTCATTTACCTTGTCTCGACTTTCCTCCGACAGGTTCCTCAGCCCCCTCAGTGCCACAAACACCTCATAGTGGGGAGCAGAGCCTCCGGAGGAATCTGCAGACAGACCCCGCGCACACTCAGTCCTGTGAATGGGGCAGCTTCCAAAGCTGATGCCCAAGGCCCCACCTCATCCTTCCCCCCTCTGAGGCTCATGGGAAAACAGGGGTTTCTTGGCGTGGAGGTGGGTAGAGGGAGAGGAACCCAGAGCCTAGTGCTGAATATGAAACAGGCCAGGAAAGGAAATGGGGAGACTGCAGCAGGAGGGATGGGAGTTAGACATGGGGAAGGACTTTTGTTAGAAGCAGCAAAGGAGGCTGGGTCTTACCTCCTTCCTAGAGGTCTCTCAGCAGGATGGGTATGGATTGTGGGGCAGTCAACCCAAGAATGGGCGCAGGAGCCGATGGAGAAGCTTACCCAGAACGCTGCTCTCCACACAGACATGGTCCAACAGTTTGGCCCCTGGCCACTGCCCCACTGCCCGGCCCAGGGCCTCAGAGAACATATCCTCGCCGATGTCTTCTCCTCGTACACTCAGGGTCTGGCCCAACCTGGGGAGGAAGGAGAGGGAGGCAGAGGAGCCCAGGGCACAAGGATGGCCCCTCAGCTCCCTGGGAGGTCACCTACCTGCAGATGAACCTGACAACTGGGCACTGATTGTAGGCACCAACCACTCGGACCACATCACCCAGGCGGCACCTGACAGGGTGGGAGTGAGGGTGAGGTCAAGCCCATGGACCCGTTTGCTCCTACCCCAGAGGGCCTGGGGTAGCCAGGGGGTGGGCAGATGATCACCTTGTAAGGCTGGTGTGGTCAGTCAGCACCAGCTCATATTCCTTGTCCTTCTGGGCCTCGGCCAACAGGACAGTGGTGGCAGCCTCTTCCTGGCCTCCCTCCTTGACTGGGAGCAGCTCAATCAAGGGAGCACCAGGGGGCAGGAGGTAAAGCCCACTGGGCTGCTCTGGCCACAGGCTCAGGGCCACCACCCCTGCAGGGAGCAAGCGGCCTCTTTATCTGGTGGTGCCATTGCTTTCTCTCCCTGAAGCCTGGGCCTCAATCCTCTGAGCATCTGATTCTACTGCTCCCCTTCTACCCCCTCCTTCGTGGCTTCCCCAGGCTCAGCACACAGCCTTAGGGCCCTAACTGGGAAGAGGCAGTGGTTCTGGACATGGCAGACCTCAGGGTAAAATGCTGATCTATGTGAACTTGTGCAACCTCCATGAGCCTCAGTTTCTCCATCTGTAAAATGGAACCACTGCTGGTGGGGAAATATACATATACAGGGCATTGGAGAGGGTTCAATGAGATGATAATGTAGGGCTCACTATGTGGCAGCTAGCTGTGTGCTCCCTGTCCCCTGCCCCCAGCTCGCCACCCTTGAGTCTTGCTGACCTCCAGAGGCAGCATAAGCAGGCGAGAAGAAGGCTAGCCCTTGGCACCACAAGGCCCCCAGGGCAGCCACAGCCTCGGCCTGGCCTCCTGCATCCAGAGTCACCACCACCTGCAGCTTTGGCCAGAGCCGCAGGGCCAGTCCTCGGGGACCCTGCTCTAGGGCTTCCCGCAGCTCAGCTGCCCGTCTGGGGAGAGGTGCTCCTGGGCTCCCAGCAGCTAGTGCCTCGGCCAGCTCTTCACCATCGGCCCCCAGCCCCGAGAAGATGTCCAGGAGTTCGACTGCCGTCCCGGCTTCCAGTGCCCGCAGCCCTGGGGACCTCAGTGCCTCCAGCAGCAGGGCCCCAGGGTCCTTGGCTCCAGGGGGGCTAACCCGGCTGAGGGCATGCCAAGGCCAGGGGAGGGGGCAGGGCCAGGGGGATGTGGGAGTCAAGCAGGCTGTGCCCCCTGGAGCCAGTGCTTCTGGGTAGGCCTTGTTTAGGGCTGCCAGGCCCAGTAAGGTGGCCTGGGGGAGACAAGAGAGGGCGTTGGTTCCCAGCCTGAGCCAGACCCTGAGCTCCCAGTTTGGGGATTCTTTGCCCACCCTGATGGGAGGGTGTGGCTGCAAGTAGGGGTCTATGGTGGGGCTGGGCTCCAGCCTTCTCAGTTTACCTGCAGAGAGGCCTCCCCATGGTGCCGTTTTGAGGTAGGGGGCAGGAGCTGCTCCCCACCCTCTTCCTCCTGGGCCTGCCTGGCCTTGGTCAGAGGGAGATGATTCCGGAAGGTGCTCATATCTGTAGCCCCAAAGACACCATAAATTCCTCATCAAGCCACAGAGTTTCCCAAGAGCTACAGACGAGGTTGGTGAGACCCCTGAGGAGGGACATGAACAGGCCTGGGGGAAAGGGGCTACCAGGGTCCAGCATGGGGAAATTCATCTTGAACAATCCTGAGCCTGGGGGGTCCCTGGGCCAGGCCTCTCTGTGTTGGCAGCAGAAGAGGGAAAGGGAGGTCTTTGGATTCTGGAATCTGACTATCCTGTGGGCTTTCTTTCTCTTTAGGCCACCTCCCCAAACCCTGGAAAACACACCTGTGCTCCCCCTGAGGGGACAGCGGGGACCCGGGGCTCCCTTCAGACACCGCCTCAGGGCCTGCTGCTGGCTCTGGCCCACATGCAGCGTGCTCTGCTCCAGTCTCCGCTGTTGCCAGGCAGCTGCCCAGCACAGGGCCCCCCATGCCACGCGGTGCTGGAGGCTGGCAAGCCAGGGCAGCCTGGGACCCTGGGACTGCTGCTGCTGGAGCATGGCCAGTGGTGGCAGCAGCAGCAGCAGCAGCAGCAGCAGCAGCAGCAGCACCATCTCGGGGCAGCTCCTGGGAGGAAGATTGGGGCCGCAGGGAATAACCCATCTCTTACCACCCCCGCCCCCATTCTACCGCGCACAGGAAAACCAAGGACAAAGTAAGTTTAGGAAGAAGCCAGGACCCCTGTCAGGCAGGTGAAGCAGAAGAGAGAACATCAGGCTATAGAGTCACACTGACCTGAGTTCGGATCCTGGCTCTGCCCCTTGCTACCTGTATGGCCCCAGGTAGTTCAGGTGGCTGCTCTGAGTTCCGGCCCCCTATCTGTCAAATGGGAATATAATACCCCCCTCAGAAGGTGCAGAAAGGGCTTGGCATGGTGCCTGGCACACAGCGGTGGCTTAACGAATGACAGGTTTTGCCAAGTGGCTCTGCTTTGTCCCAGGATCCACCCTGTCCCAGCTCCATGTCCTTCCTGAGCCCTGGACAGTGGTTCATATCCCACAAGCACCTGTCACAGCCCACTTGTGTCTACTCCCAGCACCCAGGGCCCCCTCAGCACCCTGGTCTCAGTATACAGCTGGCCAGAAAGGGCCATAGCTTTGCCGCACTGGGCGTCACAACAGGGAAATCCGGCCACTGGGCCTGAGGGAGGAGCTGGGGTGGGGGGTGCTCTTAAAGGAGCAGGCTGCCTAAGGGGGACATGCTGGGTGCTGGCCCAAACGGGCAGATGTGGGAAGCTAGGGCTAGAATAGCATAGTCCTCAAACTTGTGCAGGTGAAGGAAGAGAAAACTGACTGCGGAAAGAGCGCCAGGAAGCAGCTTCAGCTGGGGGTGGGGCACACCCCGTCCTGGAGCAAGTTCAAGCTTGAGAACTGTTAGAACCAACATTTTCTCCCAACCCAGAATCCTCTCCACAGAGGTAGTAGAGAAAGAAAAACATTTTTGTTATTGAAGAAATTAAGCCAGAATGTGATGTGCATCCCGGGCAATCTGCTAGGAGATTGCAGACAGAAAAGAATCTCACTCCTGTTTATAGCCAAGCAGGTAGAACCCATCACACAGTGTTCTCAAGATAAATGATAACTAGTCCTCAGGTCAGAGAACCTGAGGGCATCACCTGTAACACGTAGTTCATCCTAACTTTACCTGGCAATTGGGCTCACCATATGCGTTGGCTTATTGGCTTTATCCCAAGGAAAAACTTTTATATGACACAAGGTCATTTTGCAACTTGGAGCAAGGCACCCGCCAAAGTTAGGCTCTTACTCTCTTGCTGTGAAGTTTGAGAAGCTACGCTCTAGAATGAAGTTCTGCTGCTGTCCATGGTTAAGCTCTCCCTCCCTCCTGTGCTCTTGACCCAGGCTCTTAAGACACTAACACCCCTCCCTCGTCCCCTCACCTGCCTCTATGTCTTGCAGCATCTCTCCCTTCTTTTCACAGCTGAGCTCTTTTGCACAGGTTTGCTCTCACAGTCTACTCCACCTTGCTTTCACTTCTTTATTTCTTGCTGAGATCTTGCACTTGTTTTTAAAAAAAATACTAGATATAATTCACACAAATCACCCATTTAAAGTGTACAATTCAATGGTTTCTAGTATACTCACAGACACGTGTGACACCAAGTCAATTTTATAACATTTTCATCACCTCAAAAGTAACCCTGTACCCTTTAGCTATACACTTCAATTTCTTCTCAGCTTTCTCCACCACAGCCCTAAGCAACCACGAATAAAGTTTCTGTCTCTATAGATTTGCCTATCCTGGGCATTTCACGTAAATGGAATCATATAACACATGGTCTTTTGCTTCTGGCTTCTTTCACTTAGCATAATGTTTTCAAGGTTCTTCTGTGTGGTACTGTGTATCAGCAGTTCATTCCTTTTTGTTGCCAAGTAATATTCCATTGAAGGTAACACCATCCAATTGATGGGCATTTGGTTCATTTCCATTCTTTGGCTATTATATATAGTGCTGTTATGAACATTTATGTACACATTTTGGGGGGGGGGACATATATTTTAATTTTTCTTGTGTAGAGACCCAGGAGTGGAATAGCTGGGTTGTATAATAACTCTTTTTTAACTGTTTAAGAAACGGCTAAACTGGCTTCCAAAGTAGCAGCTTCATTTTACCTCCCCACCAGCAGTGTATGAGGGTTCTGATTTCTCTATATTCTTGCTAACACTTACTATCTGACCTTTTGATTTAACCATCCTAGTGGGGTGTGAAGTGACTTGAGTTTAATTTTAATTTTCATGATGACTAATGATGTTGAGCATCTTTTTATGTGTTTAGTAGCCATTCATATATCTTCTTTGAGAAATGTCTTTTCAGATCCTTTATCTATTTTTAATTGGGTTGTCCTTTTATTATTAAGTTGTAAGAGTTCTTTGTACACTTTACATACAAGTCCCCTATGATTTGCAAATATTTTCTCCCACTCTGTGGGCTGTCTTTTCATTTTCTTGATAGTGTCCTTTATGTTGGGAAAACTTCCTGGGATGTACAGAAACTGACCTTCAAAGGAGGACAGGGCTGAGAGACCAAAGAAAAGAGGCTGACAAGGAATTAAACAGTTTATCAAGAGAACTTACTGACAGAAGCAGTCTTGGGAAGCATCCAGAGATGGATCTCCACACCTGAAAGGGGATGGGAGCTTGAAATATATAGTCTTCAGGAACACAGGTGGTTTGTAGCCAAGTGGTACATGCTTGTTAAGAGCTGCATTCCAAAGCACTAATCAACAAAATGGGCCTACTTATCTATGTAAGAAGATTCCTTTTGGGTGACACAAATGTAATTTTCTCTGTGAAAATGCTAAATTTATAAGGACAGGAGTGACCTCTACCATCAAGGGTACTCCTTTGAGGTTGAAGAATTAAGAAAAAGGTTTTTTCCAAAACAAAAATTGATATTCTTTAAATGTTTGGTGGAATTCAGTGGTAAAGCCATCTAGGCCAGGGCTTGTCTTTGTAGGTAGCTTTTAATAGTACCCACAAAGAAAATCAGTTTGTTATAAATCTATTCATATTATCTATTTCTTTTTGAGTCAGTTTCAGTAGTTTGGCATCTTTCTAGGTACTTGTCCATTTCACCTAAATTACCTAATATATAAGCATATAATTGTTCATAGTAAGCCTTTAATTTCTGTAAGGTCTGTAGTAATGTCTCCTCTTTTATTTCTGATTCTCTTTTTCCTGGTCAATCTAGCAAAAGATTGTCAATGTTGATCTTTCCAAGGACTTATTTTTGGTTTCGTTGACTTTATTGTTTTTCTACCCCCTATTTCATTAATTTCTGCTCTGCTCTATTTATTATTTCCTTCTGCTTGCTTTAGATTTTGCTTTTGTTTTTTGGGGTGGTGTGTTTTTTTTTTCAGTGTCTTAAGGTGGAAGGTTGTGTTATTGAGATTTTTTCCTTTTTAACATAGGTCTTAACAGCCATAAATTTTTCAAGCAGTTTTAGCTGCATCCCATAAGTTTTATGTTGTGTATTTTCATTTACCTCAAAGTATTTTCTAATTTCCCTTTTGATTTCTTCTTTGACCCATTGGTTATTTAGGAGTGTATTATTTTATTTCCATATATTTATAAATTTTCCGGGGCTTTTTATTATTTTAGTGAGTGGCTGGATTATTTTAGTGAGTTCATCTATTCCCCAGCACCCACCTCACCCATAGTGTGAAGCCTCTGTTATTGTTCCTCTGAGGAGCACAGACTTGAGCATGCCTAGTCACCTTAGCACAACAGTGATTTTAACAGGTCTCTTTCCGTGACCACACCCAACTGTTAAGCTACACTAATTATTAGCTAATTGCTTCCCCCCCCCCC